CTTTCTTTTTTCAGCAGAGAGCCCTGTGAACAGCCCTACTACCTTACCTGGCTCTAACCTGGGGCAAATGGATGGGCGGGTCACAGAAGGTGTACAGCCTAAGTCTGCTGCTTTTCACATGTGCAACTGGGACTGCCCGCTAAGCAGGATCTTGCAGAGATCATAAATTAAAAATCCATGACCCGGCTGATTTTTCAGACTCTCTCTGTGGAGGAAATATGCACACTCCTTGGATGTAAATAGTACTTTTCAGACCTTAAATTGCCCATAGGTTACCATGTTTTTGAGGACTACTTTAGACCCCCCGTTCTGCACTCCCTCTCTAACACAGACACAGTAACAACAGTATTTTGCCGTGCTTATGTCTCCTGTATAGACATCTGCCCTTGCCGTACCTCCTGCAAGGCTGAGGAGCAGAGTAGAGAAGAGGGAGGTTGTCAGGAGGCCCTATGCAGTGAGTGAAACCAAACCCTTTACCTCCTGAACTGTAGCTGTGTAGGATCTGAAATTTGTTTATGCCTTTCACTTTTGTAACAATAAAAAATTTTCCTCTCCTATTTCGTGGCTATCCTATTTCTGTGTTAAATCAACAGAAACACTATCAGCAGCTGTCGGTTCACTTTAACTTCTGAAGCTGCAATGAAACATCCATATGGCCTTCTGGTTGCTGTCAACTTCCATTATTCTATGATTTTGTGATGTCATAGTTATGTTTTCTGTACTGGGAAATCTGGAGAAGGGTGGAGAATTGAACTTTGGGATAATATTTTGCTTACCACTCTTTAAAAACAGCGGACTTCTTTGTCTTAAAAAAGGTGAAGAGGTGAGCAGAAAGATGTTTAAAAGTCTGATATCCACTAAGGCCAAAACTGGATGAGATACACCTAAGAATTATGTGGATTATTTTAAAAAATAAATTGGGATGGAGTGGGCTCAGGCTCCTAGGGAATCCACATAAGTGGTACCCTTCAGACGAGAGAGCCAAAGCACATACTTTGTATGCTGATTATCACATGTCCATTTCATCTCTTTTCCATTTAAAAAGACTAGACAGCAAGGAATGAGAAAACGTCAGTCCAGACAAGCAGATAGCCCCACGTGGTTTAAGCCAGCTTCTTATGTTATGGAAAGAAAGTCAAAGCAGCCATATTTGAGGCACAGTTTGAAGTATGTGGGAGAGGAAGAGCAAGAATAACAAGAGTAGCTTAAACTACCAGCCTTCCTGACATCAAGGAACTGGGCTTATCTGAATTATCCAGTTCACAATTTGCTAATCAGCTTCAGCACTTGGGGAGCAAGGACTCAGTGAGGTGGAGGGGAATTGGATCTGCTGTGAAGTTGCACCTGGGAGGTTGTGTTTCACTGGCTTAACTTCCTTCAGCTCAGCACACCTGAGTCAACACAGCCAGGGGAAGAAATTGGCACTCGATAGTATTGTTTGCATCTTGTTAAGATAGCTCTGCTCTGGCCATCCAGATTTGCAGGAGGCATGGAAAAAGGCTGATGGAAAACATCCTCCTGTCTATGCCAGTTCCTCGCTTTCCCCCCTCCCCCTTTGGTTGCCTACATGCCCTAGCGCTATATTTGCAAGCCTTTGAAATAAAAGAGAAAAAGAAATGGAAAGGGGAAGGGAAGGGGAAAACTGAGCAGATCCAAGCACCAATTTGGGGTGGTGGGGGGTGGTGGTGGATGAAAGTGGAAACCAGTTTTCCCACTCTCCAGCCTCTCTCAATGCTGCTGTAGCCAGCTAGAATTGCTTCAGATAGTATAAACCCCTACACATCAGCTCCACCAAAATGGATGAAAATGCATTCGATTCCAAAAAACTAGAAGCCCCAGCAGTAGAGGTAAAAATGACAGATTGGGGGGGGGGAGGGCTCTGGGCTGATCCGCATCAACTTACATTATGTAGTCAACAGAATATAATGCACATCTGACCATCCCAATCCCAGAGAATGTGTTCTGTGTCACCAGCTAGTGACTGGTGCTTGTCACCTGACTCAAAGGTACAGTGTCCAGATGTTCCTACACAAATTAACAAAAAGATCAACAGCCTTAAAATCATCTTCAATATAATCTGGATTTTCTAGCCAAACATTTTGGATAGCCTTTGGTGATACACATCCTGTTACTTAGGATAGTAAATTGCATTAGAATAAGTCCATTGAGTCAATGGGTGTTTAGAGTGTCAACTCTTCCATACATTCCATTGATTAAAATAGGCCACCCCTAACAACTATTTAGTATGCTAAAGTAAATCACAGTTAGAGTAGGCCCAGCTGGATCAATAGAACTTACAGAGGAGTTGACTTGCCAAATCCCCATTGATTTACTGCAGCATTTTGCAACCTGGGTGTTGTGCCCCCCCCCAAGGGGGTTGCAAAATATCTTCTGGAAGATGGGAGGTCACATTATATGCGTTGTAGCCCTTATTAAACAATTTTATTGACCTTTCAGAGCAAGATACTAAAGTTAGCATGGATATGTATGTATGAGAAACAGGCCCTTTGGGGAACAGAATAAAGCTTGTACTTTCTGAGAATGGATTACCCTATTAAAAATGCCTTTTTATGAAAACATGGAGGGGTAGTTACTTGGCTATTACTGAAGGAATTTGTGATCTCAAAACATTTGGGAACCACTGATTTAATGGTTCTGCTCTATTGCAATCTATTATGTTAAGTAATAGGATTTTAGCCATTTTGTTTCCTTAATGTTGAGTAGACATTGCTGAAGCAAGGTTGGGGAAGCAGATGGCAGCAGCACAACTGCTCTTCAATGTTTCCAGTGTGCTGTTTGGCATGCAGGGACAAAGTTCCCACCCAGAGATCTTTATTTAAATCCATCTTGCTCTTGCTAATTTGGAATCTCAGCCTTTTTACTTATTCATTGATTCACTGCTGCTCACAGCGCTGTGCAGTGTAAGTTAAAATTTGCTGGTGCTTTAAAGTCTGTAGGGAGACATGACTAGAATGGGACGGGAGAGGCAAGAATAACTAAGGACGTTTGCAAGCGAAGGCAATTCTCTGCATATTTCAGGCTTGGTTGGGAAAGACAGGCTTTGAGCTGATAGCAGATATCACCCAAAGCTCATCTGGTAGTACTAATTGCAACCCTCTGGCATACTTTCAAGTCTCCACTGGGAAGACTACCAGGCTCATAAAAAGGAGAACTGCATGTTACGTTGCTGCAAAAACTGCAGCTTGTCTGCTTTACTCCACATGGGTTAAGGAAGGAGAGGCTCCAGATAGTTACACTTACCTTCAGGAGATTACTCAAGTAGGCTAAGATCACTTCTAGTTTCCCTTCAGCCATGACTTCAGTAGATCCTTACTGGCAGTGAAAAATCCATCGTTTCCCCACCTCTATCCTCACCTGCAATAGGGGACAAAAGTGTTTAGGAGTGTGCTATTTGGATTATTTATTTTTTTGACTACAACTTCCAAAATTTCCCCCAACTCACAAGGAAGAATACCAGGATTTCCAGCCCACAAACCCGCATCTACAGAGGCTTTCAGTCACATTTACATTTTGCTCACCTGGACAAGGGTTTAGCTCAGAAACTGCATGGCCTATCTCTGGCCTAGCTTCCTGTTTAAAAATGAAGCTGCTTAATCAGTCACATTTACATTTTGCTCACCTGGATAGGGCTCAAAAACTGCATGGCCTAACTCTGGCCTAGCTTCCTGTTTAAAAATGAAGCTGCTTAACACAACCTGTTTTGAGAATTTTGATTGTAACGTGTATTCTCATAACATCAGCAGAGTAAAGAGATATTGGTTAGCAGAGGTACTTACGACACTATGACACTGAAAGAGTAAAACCAACAACTTAGTCTATTTGTATAGAGAATAGACAATACTCTGGCAGCATAATGTGACATGAAGCAACACACAGCATAGGAAAAAGGGATCTGACAGAAGACAGACATTCATTTTACACATGACTTATGTACAGTTCTGGGACTAATCAGAAAATGCATTATTTCATTTTCTGTTACATAAAATTTCATCATGTACCACAGCTGTTAAGTCTTAATCACTGATACCCACACCTGAATACAGTCAGTACAGTGGCTCAGGTAAAATCAGCCATTTTACATTTAGCTATACAACATTAATATTTAATACATATTCATATCAAAATCTCAACAACCTGGGAGTCCTACAGCTTTCTAGTATGTATAGTCTCAGTGCCCATTAGGCTTTCTGAAACTGTAGGTCTATAGAACCTGAAGATGCTCTAGAACAACGAAAACTATAAAGTTAAGCTTTGAAAATATGCCTGAAATTTAGCAAAGATTTAGCTTGGCCTCCTATAGGAGGGAGTTCCAAAGTGTGGGTGCAGTGTTAGAGAAGGCCTTTTCCCATGTCCCCACCGACACACCTGTGAAAGGGGATAAGAATGAACTGCATCCTTATTATCAAAGACCTATAAAAACATAAATAATAATAAACAGGTTAGAAAAAAGAGCTGGAATGTTACCAGACCATCAAATAATCTGAATTTAGGAAGAATTTATGTGCAAGCAATCATGTTCTTAATATTAGAATGTGCATAGAAAAATTAACAAAATATAATTAACCTTTATATCTGACCTTTGTAGATTACAAACAAGTCTTTGATAGTATTGAACTGTAGGCAATAGTAAATTTGCAACAGATTAGTAGAACAGACTATTGATATACACAGGTTACGAAATCAGTTTATAAACAAGCCACAATGGTTGTACAGTTATAAAAAAAGTACAAAGGAAATACCAGTTAAACACAGAGTTAGACAAGGAAACTCAAGGAGTCTGAAACTGTTTCTAACAGCATTAGATGATGTTTTCACAAATCTTGATTGGGAACATAAGGGAATTAATATTGATAGGATACACCCCAATCAGAGATATGCAGATGACGTAATAGTTACGGCAGATAACTTTGATTTCCAAAGCATGGTAGAAGAATTTAAAACTGAATAAAGTTGTTTTGATATTTACTAAAATAACAAAAGTAATGTCCAATCAAGAAGAAAACAGGAATGTTATAATTGATGGCTATCATATGGAATACGCATAAGATTATAGTTATCAAGGGCAGATACCACAGTGTGGGAAATCTGATCAGAACGCAGAATTGGAGAGGCAAATAAGACTTGCCTGGCCAACATTTGGGAGACAAAGTAAAATCCTCTTAAAGCAAGACAAAACAAATCTCTAAAATTAAGAACACCAGTTCAAAATCAATGTATGTTTCCAGAAATGACATGCTGCACAGACCTGGCCTCTGACAAAATCTATAACAGAAAAGCTTGCAAAAACTCAGAGTAACAGAAATTAAGAAAGAGAACATCAGAGTAATAGATAAAATAAGAAACCAGGATATTCAGCAATGGATTTTACAATAAAGAAAATGGACATGGGCGAGCCACACCAGGAGACAAGTAGATGGGCGATGGAATGAAGAAGTACAGTACATCCATGGTGACCTGGGTCAGAAGACAAAATAGAGAAAGACCACAAACTAGATGGATGGATGACATGAAATGAGGACTAGCATGGATTAAAATAGCATTAAATGGAAATTTGTGGAAGCAATCAAAGGAGACCTGTATCCAACACTGGAGTCAATGGCCTATTTTTTTTTAAAGAACAGCCTGGGTTATAGTCTTTATCAATTCAAAAGAACCCCAGATAGACGTAAGTGTTGGCTGATGCCAAGGAAGCTGTTTACTTCAGGTCCTGCTTCTAGAGTGGCCCAGGAGTGACTGAAGAATTCTGGAAGACGTCTGGAAAAAAAGTAACATCTCTAATTCCTGCCAATCTGACCTAGCAAGAGATAGCATCTACATACTCTGCTTCTTGATGGCACAGACAAACGGATGCTGACCAATGAGGGACAAGCACCGCAAACCCAGCTCAGCTGAGAATTGAGAGCTTTCTCAGGAAAGCGTGCTGAAAATATTACCTGGTTTTATTTTATGTCAGTCATCAATTAGCCTTGCTGTCAGGGTGACTCACAAATCTAAAACAGTAAATCTCTGGTGGCACCAGCATGCTTGCGACAGTGATTCCACCTACATGTGCCTTCGTTGGCTGAATAGCTCAGTGAGTTGGGTCTCTGGCTGTCTACCCAGAGGTTGGAAATTCAATTCCCCACTGTGCTTCCAGGGAGGAAACCCAGCCTGTGTGGCCTTGGCCAGGCTGCGCAGTCCCGAGATGACCCCAGAAAAGGGTACTCTCTATCTAGAAAACGCTGGTAAGAGTTGCCATACGGTGATAATGATCATGATGATCATTTTGCTCATCATCAAGTTTACAACGCAACACTTCTGGAGATGAAGGATTGGCCAGCTGTATGCTATTGCACAAGGGTGTACTGTGTGTACTCACAATCCTTTCCCACTCTTTGGGGAGGCTCCTTCTATGTACATTTGAATTTATTTTTAATTTTACCTATATTTCATATTGTGCCCATAATTTTAAATCATACTATGCTCTAAGATGAATAAAGAAAGATGATGATGTGCCTTCCGTTGCATGCCCATGGGAAATGTAGGTCCTAGTAGCAGAAGTAGCAGGAAGCAAGTTCCCCAAGCATATGTGGCAGAAAGAGGACTTCAGATAGACCAAAGGATAAAATCTTCTATTTTGAATGAAGCAATATGCTTGCAAGAAGCTATACATGACAGAGTATCTACCCTTTAGATCAAAGCTATTCATCAATCAGCATATAGGTGGCAACAGCCAACCACTGTTTCATCAATTGATAAACAACCATAAAGTACTCTGGAGTGCTATAAAGCAGATGGCTTTGTAGTTGAAGGCAATGAAGTCATTGGAGTAAAAGTGACATATGCTTTCCAAAACAGCAGGGCTTGGACACCTGGCTAATTAGCACTATGACAGAAGTCGTGCTAATGATAGTGCTGTGACAGAATCTCACAGCATCCAATATTTCAAGAACTCAGGATGGGGGGCAGTGTTGGGAGTGATGTTTGATGCATACTGCAGTAACATGCTAGTGCCAGCATAAACTCTAGTCTGTCTTGAGATAAGTGTCAAGCAAACATATGCAATTAAGCGTGTTCTGATTATGCAATGAGATATAAGACACTCCCTTAATAATCCACAGGAATGTGAAGAAGTTGCAACTGCAGCTCAAACTCTTATCTTGTTGCAGAATCTGGCGGCTGTACAAAGTCCCAAGTAATTGTTTTGTTTTCCTGCAACATTCCCTTTTATAAGATTTCTATACCATTGTTTCAATAAGAAGCTGTGTATAAGTGATCAATCAAAATGTACATGCCAGTGATAAGCACTGAAATGACATTTCAAATCCTAATCCAGACACCTACTGTGTAGTTTAGCAGCTGAGAAAATAATTCATATTTACTAAGCACTTATAATTTACTGTGATTTTGAGTGCTGAAAGAATGCCACATCCTTGAATCATAATTTTTTTTGGGGGGGGGGAAGGTATGGGTTTTGTTCGATCATACATAAAACTGGTTTTTATTGAGTCTGGATAGAAATTAAGACCATGACAAGCCCTGGACCAGCAGCCTGTAATGGCCCCCAACTTTACACTGAACTGTTATTCTCAGAAACTACAAGGGGGAACATACTATGCAGCGTTCTATCAGCTGGTTCCCGAGAAATGAATGGAACTATAGTTCTCACCTCCAGTCAGTGTGATCAAGAACCAATTGAATGAGCAATTATAGTCCAAAGCATTGATGGTGCAGCAGGCTGGGGAATACTATATCTTAGTGCAACCTCATCTTCTATGCCTTCCTGGTAGCAATAAGATGCATGTAATAAGTCTGGAAAATGTACCATTTCAGACAACAATTCCCAGACTCCTTGATCAGCACTTTCTGCTAGCCATGCTAGCTGAGGGTTCTAGGATTTGAAGACCAACAAGGATAACTTTTCCATATACTGGTTGAAGTTGAGCTGAGAACACTGCTGAGGCTCTGAGACATGGGGGAATAGGCGGCAGCAATGACCACCCCTGCTTTAACGTGGCCTTGACTGAAGTCACATCCCTGGTCCATCAATGGCTCCTCAGACTAGTGGTTGCACATCAAAGTGTGAAGCAGAAGATAAGCCAGTCATTTGCTACCTGCTACCTATTAAAATGCAAATGTTATCTGAAGATGCTAGAGCTTGAATTGGGGATCTTATGTATGCAGGATTTGATAGTCCTTCCACTGAGTAAATGGCTTCTCTCCACTTGATAGTACCTTTGTCAAACTATCAGTTTAGGGACCGAAAACTGGCAATTTGCATGTCTAGCATCCGTTTATCTGTTTTGTAAACGACAAATCCAGTACAAAACTCTTCAGGATGGTGTATCTATTAAAAGAATAAAGCAACCTTACTA